AGACACCATGCATTTGATGTCTCGTGTGTTGTAAGAAAGAACAGCTCAGCATGTGTATGTGTACAAATATATACTCCTGATGTACACATTTTGGGCAGAAATGTATATGTAATTTTAAAATAGTTCAGCAAAAAAGAATATTCAAAGAATGAGCATTCCTTATACTAGCCAACTTTCCCATAGATTTGAAATTTTCCACATGAAACACAGAACAGGTCTTTGGGATGGTAGCAAACACTCTTAAAGTGGTTACAAGATGTTCGAGTGAGGCATCATTGGAGACTCAGACTAGAAGCTACTCCCACAAATATTCTTAAGTCTCCTCTAATACAGACAGTACAGATCTTTAAATTCCTTAATTATAGGATCTCTTCTTGGAATCAACTCCTAACAGGGAATTGTTGGTATCAAATTCTGACCACAGGGCCAGGGATGCAGCTCAGAAGCATCTGCCCTACAAGCACAAGGTCCTGAGTTTGATGGGGGTGGGGGTGTTTCTGGTTACAGAATTGTGCTGGGGAGAGGCCACTACTGTAGGCAATGAAGTGTGAGGCAATTTGGAGATTATAAATCTTCAGATCAAATATCGCCATCTCCTTTTCCAACCACTGCCCTTACTTGAACATGAGAGCTAGTGGGACTGGAACTTCTTCAGTCCTTACAACCTTGGGTTTGTCTCAGAAATGAAACCACAAATAATAGGCCAATCCAAACAGGCTCTCTGGCTCTTATTTCTATGCTCATAATTTTTCTCTCTCCCTTCATACCTTTCTCCAGCATTGTCACAGGTGAGACAGATGTCTGCTGATGATGTACCACAGACATTTCATCTATCAAGGTCTTGCCCTCCAACTGCACTTGATTCCATACTAATTAGAGTTTTACTTGTGGTACCACATCACATACCATAGGTTACTCCTGTCCTATTATCCCTACCCTTAAAATAACGTGAGCCCTGTCCTCTTTGAACACATGTGCCATCTAATCCCAGAATACACCCACCCAGGACTGAGGACTAAAATCAGAGCCTTCACATTGAGCTACAAATCTAGCCCTTTCTTTTTTAAACAGGGTCTCACTAAATCACTAAGTTGCCCAGGCAAAGCTCAAATTTGCAGTCCTCCTGTCTCAATCTCCTAGAGCACTGGGACTACAGGTATGGACCACCATGCCTAGCCTAGAATACAATTTGGAGGGAGTTTAGCATTATTGCTGATAGCTATTACTATAGCTGTCACAGTGCCGACAGGAAGATATCACACTCAAATCACAACTTGAGGGGGGCATGATGGGTAATTTTAGGTGTCAACCTAACTATATTAACTATATTCCCGCAGGCTTAAAACCACCAGTGGTACATGCATGACTGTCAAGCAGTTCTTACCACCAGATGGAACAGTCCCATGCCACCCAATAGGACAATCATGTATCAATGGTTCAAGCCAACAGGAACATAACATATTCAAATCAGAGCCACCAGGCAATGAGATACACAAATTATGGCCCCATCGTGAACATGTTAAAAGGATACCCACATAGCTGGTAAAACATTTCAAGGTATGTCTGTGATGATGCTTCTGGAAGACACTGGAACTTGAATGAGTGGGCTGAGGAAAAATGTTCCTTATCCTTCATGTCAGGCACCATCCAACTGGCTTAACAAAAAGATGGGAAAGGTGAATCCCTACTCCTCTCCTAGAGCTAGCACACTCATCTCCTACCCTTGGATATCAGAACTCCAGATCAGGCCTTCAGCCTTGGACTTAAAAGTTTTATCATAGCTATGTTTCCCAGGCTTTCAGACTTATACTAAGCTATGCTACTAGCTTCCCTGCTTCCCCAGCCAGCAGGGAGCACATAGTGGAACTCCGCAACCTCTCTGTGAGTCAATCCCTAACAAATCTCTGTATCTCATTGCTGATTCGCTGGAAAATCCTAACAATTTCAGAGGAGTTCGGTAAAGAGTATTTAAATGTAAAAGTACAAGAATACCTCAGCAATATTAAGGTACACAGAACCAGTTAAGGCACTGGGCCAGTGGGACAGGTAAGGAGGTGGCTACCAGAAATCAGGACAAAACTAGAAATAGAAAAGTCAACTTTAGTTAAGGGACACAGCCAGTACAAGGCGACCTTGAAAGGAAGCTGGGAACTAGAGGTATCAATGTACGAGTTAATGTTCCTCCCTCTCTTACTTCCTAGTGTGGCTCTGCGCTTTTCAAACTAATAGCTGGAGAGCAAAGGAAGATACTGCTTGTCCATCCTGGTCAGCCCACAAGAGCCAGAGGGTGAGAAGTCACTCCAGAGGCACTCCAACCAGCCTCTAGGTCCAAAGCCTTTTCACTATACCTGTTAAAAATTTGGAAAGAGTGGAGAGAGTAAGGTCAGAAGTTTTATATTTCTTTCATTACTGGTTAAGATTCTCCCATACCAAAGGGGGAAGGGTAGGGGAAAGGAAATAAGGGAAAAGAAAAAATATGAGCATTGAAATAAAGAGTTTCTAAATGGGGAGGGGAGGAGGGGGTGAAAGGAGGACAGGGGCAAGGGGAAAAAATGAGAACCAAGAACTGTTCATGTGAAGGTATAGGATCCCATTAATGAATGTAACTGAATTGTAGACCTAGATTATACCAATAAACTCAATTTAAAAAAAAAGATTCTCCCACACCATCACAAGCCATGTGCCCGGAATTTGGCAGAGACTAAGCCAAAATGAGATCCCAATCTTTATACTCAAAACTAATTCAGCCTACCTGTATTTCAGGAGTTTTGGCCAGAGACAAAGCTAAAGAAGTGCAAACCAACCTTTACAATAAATAACTTCCTATTTAAAAATTCAAAAATCACTGATACAGAGCTCAGATCTGTTGAAGATATTCTCCATTGTTTCTAAGAGTTTCTTTGCCTATCAATTAATGGATCCTGTAGTGAGCAAGAAGCATTCCCCCACATTCAGAAAAAAAAGTCATAGGTCAAAAATTGATCCACTTGTGGGCCGGAGCTTTAGCTCAGTGGCACCATGCCTGCCTTGCAAGGGCAAGATCCTGAGTTCGATCCCCAGTACAAAGAAAAATTGATCCACTTGTAAGTGTTCAGTTATCAAAAGATATGAATAAGGGGCTTGGGATTTAGCTCAGTAGCACCACGCCTGCTTTGCAAGCACAAGGTCCTGAGTCCAATCCCCAGTACTGCCAAAAAAAAAAAAAAATGCATAAAAGATATGAATAAGAATTCTGAAAACCATAGGACCTCTGAAATTATTTTTCAATTGGTAACAGTTTTCTCCAAACCTCAACAGGATTTTTTTCTTATCTTGGGTTATTAAATGTATCCAGGTATCGGATAACAGGAAGAAGTCACGGAAAAAAAAATAAAACCACAGCTAACCTCAAAAGTAAATGTAAATATTGTACGAAGGCAACTCTGTACCTTCACTTGTATCTGCACTACATTCAGTCACACTCACTAGACTACACATCCACCCGCAGCCACCATCCCATTGTGATCTTACACAACCACGTTAACTCAATTAAATTCTCCATGAACCAGCCTTTGCCCTCCTGATCCTTGCTAATATCAGCAGTGGTCTTCATTTTACCAAATCTTCATAAATGACAAAGTAGTCTGAGAAAAACTGAGGAGCCACCAGAATGGAGACTAAAGAACAGAATCAAGTAAGATACATGAAACTGGGTTAGATTTGGCTATAAGACACTGACAAAATTTGAATAAGGTCTCTGAAGGTAGATGTTCAGGAGTCCTAACATTCTGGCAGCAACTTGCATACTCTGAAAATAAAGTCCAATTAGTCCCTTATTTTAAAAATTGTAAAATTAGAACTTCACCTCACTTTCCATGGTACATGAGTTACTACACACACACTTTAGTTGAGTTCTGTACTTTGGTGAAAAAAAGCACTTCACCTTTTTGTAACCAAGGGAGATTACAAGTGGTTGAAATTTAGGGTGTTTTCTCAGCAGAATTAGAGAAAAATGGCCTAAGTCATCTTCTAACTACATTAAGCTATCCAGCAAAAGTATAAACCATTTAAACTATTGGGAGACTAAGAGTGAAATGAGAGATATTTATTCTCAAACAGTAGGTAACTATTAAACCAGGACTAAAATGGCTATGAAAATAGGACTTGAAAATCTAACCTCTGTAAGGAATCTATGTGAAGCGAGTGAGGAAAAAAGTTCGGTGCAGCAACATCTTTTCCTCAGACAGATATAGACAGACTGTTACATAATAAATAATTCCATGTAATTCTTTCACTATTCATTATTTTTCAACCCCTTTTGTAGTTCCATAACTTCTTGACCCCATACTACATAAATTTCAAATACTGCTTTTTTTCCTTTTGCGATCGGACTTTTGAATCTGTTTCATTAAAACCAATTTACAGATGAAAGTGGAACAAACTGGGAGTCGTAAGCAGTTTTCCATGGATTTACCTGTGTGAGCTCCTAAACAGCAATTTATATGAGATCTTTTAACATAACTAAGCAAAAATACTGATTTACAAGGAATTATAAATGAAAGAGCTATAAATGAAAATGTAAGTTTGAAATACTCAAAGAAGTGCATTATACAGCTAAATATACCAAAGAATCAGACTGCAAAACACTCAGATAAGAAAAAAAGAGGCTGTATACACCTTGGTATTTTTCCATTTGGATCAGGAAGATGGAAAAAACAGGCCCACTCCACCCTCTCCCAGAGATCTTCAAAGATTTAACACTCAAAGTTTACTACAAATTCCAGAGTATTCACATAGAAAAGAATTCTATTTGTTAACAAAACCCATTCAATAGATAAATTATCCATTCATGTTCAGATATGTGAAACTGGGATAACACAAAGGGCACATTTCTTATTTTTATTTCAACATTTAAAATATTCACAGGTGGAGTATTAGTCATTGGCTTCTCCATGGAAGATGTACCAAATAAAACATACAAGCATTCCACAATTACAGAATTACATATTTGTGATTATGTGCATGTTTACACTACAGTTTATGTGGGAAAACACCTTTAAAAAAAAACTTTTTAGTGTTTCATTGTACTAATTTCCATAAAAAGAGAAACAAAAAGAATTTCAGGAAATATACCTAAATATTAGTCAGCAGTTTGTTTTCAATTTCAGACTTTGATAGTACTCTGCTAACATACCTGTCAGGAACACTCCCAAAATCAATACTCAATTCTTTTTTTCCCTCAGTAGACAAGCCAGGATGAACCTTCATTTATACTCCCAAGTCTTTGTTTCTATGCATATTACACAAATTAGATTGATCATCACAGCATCTTAACTAGCTAATAATGAGGTAGGAGTATTCTTCAGAAGTTTTTAGGCATTTATGAAGCAAAACAAATAAGAATAATCAAATTATATAAAGTTTTTTTTTCAGTGGTTCTTTAAATAAAATGCCAAGAATGCTGGAAATTGGCCCAATACTGCTCATACTTCAAAGATAAAGCAGAAAATCCCATTAGAAAGCCCTGCTATATATAAAGGGCAAAACCTGAGTACTGATATCAATTAAATTTCTTCCTGGGAGAAATCTTACTAAGGAGTAAAGTTTAAACAGAAATTAATGTACTCTATCATTTCTTTTCAATATAAATTGGTATCCTTTCTTTTAACCCAGTTGTCTTTTTTAATAAGTATACAAAGACTAAAATTTTTGGTATATCTTATCGAGTAACATAATAAAATGTATTTAGCAGTCAATTTACCAAACTGCTACAGAAAATACTCCTTATTTGAAGTGTTTATTAGGCTAAACAGCTAGTAAGTGCCAAGGTAATAAATTGCAGCACCATCTCTGTATAGGCAGATTATTTCAAAATGCATACATCTCAAAATTCATATAAACCTAGGAAATTTATCCATCCTCTTCATCTACACCAAAATCAAAATTCTATGTTCTAACTACCCTTTCTGAATGCCAAAAATAAGTATTTTACAAAAATATCCAATTAACAGGACATATATGTTCCCAAATAAGGGGGGGAGAGGAATCATTGATGATTTGTCTAAAACACATACAGTATTCTGAACACTGATAATCTGATAACAAATAAACTACAAGAAAAGAGATTTCCTATTTTACTAAATTGCACCTTAATTAAGGTTACTGCAAAATACACTAAAATTCATCTAAAGAAGCTAAAATACAACAGAAAAGCTACCAGGAAACAAGAAAAAGAGAAAGGCCACTACCAGTATATGTGGCTTGGTAGCTGATTTTAAAACTAAGTTCTTGTCAGTTCTACTACAAAATGTTTTAAACATAGGAATCAAACCTGGTAACAGAATAGTGCAATTCTCTTATATGGTAGCCCTTAATGGCAGTAATCATTTGAGATTTGCTACCATAATTTGTCAATAATAATTTTTTAACTCTTTAAACCTATCTTTACTCTTCTACCTCTAATTATGTCCCATCAGTGTGATCAGAATCTCAAAATAGCCTATGTATATCATTTAGTTTGGATAAAATTCTTTCTTTTCCATATGCCACCCTCCTTAATTTGAGTATCAGTTTCCTTAACATTCTTTTCCTAAAGCACACCACGCCCTATTTATTGCTGCAAAGCCCCTGTAATCTGTGCCTCACATCCATGTTTCATCATTATAGTAAAAATGAAAAGCACCTAAAAGTGTATTAAAACTAATATCAAATCTAGAAAACCATTGCCCAGTAGATTAGATGCAAAATAACCAACTTTACTGAAGCAAAAGCCAAAAAACCTACATATAATATCCTCTTACCCCTAAAAACTGACCACATTACCTACTATGACAGTAAAGCTCACCAATATCTCTGGCTATATAACCCATATTTAATGTTATAAAATAAAATGTTAGGCCAGTAAGCTTTCACAATGTTTATTAAATCCTAGTCTAGTTTAACAATATCTGATTTTATAGACACCATCCCATGGTAATACATGTTTACTAAGTGAAAGCTATTCAGACATCTAAGTCCTTATTTTTTGTAGACTAAGCAATAACTACACAGAACACTATGGATAATGACATACACTTGCTCAAAGTTTTCATACAAGACATGTTATCAATCTATACCTGCTAATAATTTTAATACAGTAGTTAGTGATTGTAGTTCTTATATAATCTGACTCTAAGTACCTTATTGAGATAACATTTTGACAGTTTCACTGAACTTTCCAACTTAGCATAACACATTTAAGGAAAATAATATAGAGTAAAATGAAAACAGGAAAGTCAAACAATGAGGTGCAAAAGTCAGATAAATTTATACAACTGGTTGGAAGGGAAGAGATCAAGTATGGATTTCATGAATCAAAAGTTTAAAAACTCATTGCAACACACATCCTCTTCAAAGTAAAAGCTGAGTTAAAACTAATAGGTCTATAAAATTGCTGTTACTCTGGGCCTTAAACAGTACCTAGTCTTCTGATCAAAAAAGGCCACAACAGTTAAACGATTGGAATTACTTGATTTTATTTTACACTAGGGAGTGGACACAAAGCAATCCTCCTTAATAAAGTTGACAATTAGCTTCACTGAGAACATTTTTAATAACGCACATTAAAAAAAAGTATTCATCTTACAAATTGTTCTGCAATCGAAATATACAACAGCTTGGAAAACAACGTTTAGAAAAACAAAAGCCAATGTAAAAAGACAGAGTAAAACAACTAGAACAGTACAGGTTTTTATGGCTCAGATTCTACAGTTTTCTTACTGCATCATCAATGTCAGAAATCTGCTCCTTCAGCTGGCTCCACTGCTCCGGATTTAAAGAAATACCTAAAACAAATTTTAAATGTTTAAAAGCTGAAAAATCTATTCAAGCCTTCTTGAGGATTTCCATTAATTCCAACTAATACTTTTCAAAACATGCCATTTTTTTCTCTGTGGGGCTTTTTTTGCAGTACTGGGGATCAAACTTGGGGCCTCAAGCACACAAAGCATCTACCCTACCAATGAGTTACATCACCAGTCCCAAAACTGCCATTTTCAAGGGCACAATTAAGACTCAAATCTTACAACAGTTTTTTGTTTTTGTTTTTGTTTGTTTTGTCTTGCTTTTTGAGACAGGGTCTCACTATGTAGTTGAGATTGACTTGGAACTATGTAGCCCAGGCTGGTCTCAAATTCACAGCAATCCTCCTGCCTCAGCCTCCCAAGTGCTGGTGTTACAGGCATGTGCCACATGCCCGGCTCTTACAACTGTTAAAGATTTATCCTGATTTCCTGAACATAAATGTTACAGGCATGTGCCACATGCCCGGCTCTTACAACTGTTAAAGATTTATCCTGATTTCCTGAACATAACAAGCTTGTACTAAACCAGACTTCCCACAGTAGCTACTGAATGCCTATTACAATAAGAACCAATGATGATTTGCAGATACACCTGCAAGTTGCCAACTAAGTGGGCAAGTCCAGATTTGACACATGACACCCTCATACATTCAGTTGGTTCTAACATTTGCTCCAAATTTCCACAGGAATTCAAGGTGAATGACTGTGCTGAGTTCTTCTAAAATCATCCATTTTACTTTGTAAATATCTGGGACATAATTCACAAAGTACTCTTATTCATATGTATGTATGTATATATATACATACTTATGACTGAGAGTACATTCTGGAGCCATGCTGCATGCTACTGGCTTTCACTATCACTAATTATATAACCCTAAAAAAGATTATACTATTTTCTGAGCTTCAGTTTCCTCACCAGTACAATGATATTTTAATTATGACATTAACCTTTACTACACCATTAAAGGTTGTTGTAAATTATTTAATATGGTTAAATGAAAAAAGAACTTAGTGTACCATCTAACATGTATATAAACACTTGAACTAATGTATTTCTCAGAAAATATGGCTAAGAGGTCATGAAATTGAAAACAAGGAGAATATACAGGGACAATACCTAGGAAGCATTTTAAAGCTAATCAAATTGTTAAAGGAAATATTTACAGGAACAAATCTGGGCATTAGGCACTCTGGAACAACGTGAATGAATAATCCAGAAACGACTTCAACATGATAAGGTACAAAATATAGAAAGGTTGTCTTTAATAAATCCCAAAACTGCATGAAGCAAACAAGTGGTACCTTTAAAACTGACAAGCAGGCAGAACAGTACTAAATTAAGAATCACTTTTTTCATCAGCAAAAGATCAACTTAAGAGCAACTATCTAAATACATACACTTATATTGGGTTGAACAAATAAAATATCCTCTAGCTATTCAGTGACTGAATAAAGTATGTTTCTACACACTAACAGGGCTGGGACTTGAAGTACAAACAGGAGGACAGAGACCAAAAGAAGGATACTGTTGTACAGACTATCCCTTAGGACTGAATAAATGGGAGGCAATATAAACTGGAGTTTTCCATTCTTGATTTTACAACTTTCTAGATAGTGCCTAAAATTTTCAATATGCTGTAATATTAAAATTGCATTCAAGTAAATTAGCAACCAATTAAAGTGGTATTAGAAATGTTACTTTTCAGGCTGGGGATTTAGCTCAGTGGTTCCGCCACCTGCCTCACAAGTGCAAGGGTACAAGTTCGATCCCCGGTACCAAAAAAAAAAAAAAAAGAAAAGAAAAGAAAAGAAAAGAAAAGAAAAGACTAACAACAAAAGAAATGTTACTTTTCTGTTTTATTCCCAACAGATGAATTTACGACACCTCACTGGAAAAGGATTAAGTATCTTGCCCAAAATGATTACAAGAATCAACTGGCTAATGCTTATTTTTGCCATACCAACATTTATTTCAACTTCAAGTAAGACAGGTTACTTAGAGACATTCTAATAATGTCTTAACATTAGAACCAGAAGCCTTACCTTTTCTTCCTGGTTTCATTTCACCTTCTGGATCCATCCAATATTCTCTAATATCAATTAGAACTTTCCCTTTAAAGTCCCGAACACTGACATATCTCATTTTCCCAATCTGCAGAAAAAACAAAAACATAAAAAGAGGTATTCCTTTCAACGGTGATATATTTTGGCAGTCATGACCATACTTATGTTAAAAAACTTGCTGCAAAGGAATTCTAGTTTTAAACATGAAAATGACTTTTTCTCAGTATTAGAACTGTAATCAACAGAAATCACTGTTGAAAAAAATTCTCAAAACAGAATGAAATAAAGCATACTTCCCATTTCCAACCATTTTTAAATTTTTAAAACATTATTAGTAAAAGAGTAGTTGCTATGGAAAATAATCATGGAGGTTCCTCAAAAATTAAAAACAGTATTATCAACAATCTCATTTTTGAGTATAGTTATATGTCACTTAATGACAGAGTATGTTCTAAGAAATATGTCATAGGCAACTTTGTCATTGTGTGAATATCAGAGTGTACTTAGATATTCTAACTAAGACAGCTACACTGTCACCAGGCAATGTATCTTATGGGACCAGTACTCTATGTATATGTGATCCATCACTGACTGCAACGTTATTAAGTGTACAGCTATATGTCTATCCAAAAGAATTGACAACAGGGTCACCAAAAGATACAAAGTGTAATTAATATATATCTGGTTAAAATTAAGACAGTGAAAGACACACTGCCATTAATCCCCCTGATAATGCTCCTCCTTCTTCAAACACTTATCATTCTTGCCATTTTCCAAACCAGTTCTAAAAGCCCTCTTTTGTGATAAGGTATGATTAAAAAAAAAAAAAATACAGTAAATCCTCCTGCCAAGAGGGTTATCAAACAAAAGGCAGGCTCATAAAAACACTACAGTATATCTACATTCACCTTTATTCACCAAACCTATCATCATGAGACTTCTGGCTTATCCCCAAAGTCAAATGACCATGAAAGGGAAAACTTTGAATTAATTCAGAACACTGAGGCAACCACAACGGTGCCATCTAAAGATGCTTACAAAAAAACTTTCAGAAAGTATCAAGAACAATGGAGAGTAAGTGTGCTCAAAGCAAGTGGAAGTATTTGGGGAGCAAAGTTAATGGCAGTGGTGTTTTTTTTTCTGTAATACATTTTTATAAAACATGAGCATTTGCCATATTTGTCAATCACCGTGCATTAGCACACCAATGTTCTTAACTGTGTTATTTACAAAAGGCAAGAAGAAATCAAAATGTTCATCCACAAATTAATGGATAAACAAAACTTGGTATACATATACAATGGAATGTTATTCAAAAAAGAAATTCTGACATGCTACAACAGGAACAGATCTTGAACACACTATGCTAAGGAAGAAACCAGCCATAAAGCAATGGTAATACTGTTTGATTCAACCTATTCAGGAGATATTTAAAGTCTAAAGCAGTCAAATTCACAAAAGTAAGGGTAATTTGGTAATTATCCAGGACTGGGGAGAACGGGGAAGAGTTTTTTTTTTAATGGGTATAGTGTTAATTTTGCATGATGGAAAAACCGGTTCTAAAGACCTGCTTCACAATGTAGTCTTTCTTATCACAATTTTTTAAAATTACTAGTGAGCAAAATCTTGCAGTAAACTACCACCAAAAGAATCTACAGATTCTGCTAGCAATGTTGCCTTAGCAACTGTTCTGAACATAGGAATCCTGAGTTCCAGTCAACAGCAACATACTTTTCCTTTTGACATTCATTTCAAATAACATCTTCAATATACTTTAATCAGTCAAACTGAAAACAAAACTATTCATAGAAAATTATTTTTCAAAACCTTTATTCTGCTACCTAACATAAACCACAAATTCTAGAGGATAAATGAAAAAGGCTTTACTCAACAAAGCATTTGCTAGTACTTTTCTAAAACTCACTAGGTATAGTTAGAAAAAATGCGGCACTGGAATACAGACAGATATAAATGGATTAGAATGCAAACAGAGGTAGGCATATATTTAATATAGTCACCCATTTTCTTTACAAAGACCCAAGGTAACTCAAAGGAAACCTATCTGTAGGGGAGAAAGGATAGCAATCCTTATGTCATAATTTGAGAAATAATCCTCCACTGATCACAGACTTAAACACAAAAACCAAAACTGTGGCTATGGGGTAGATAAATTATGTCCTGGATAGGATGAACAATCAATTTTTAAAATGAGAGAAAAACTGATAAAATGACTTCAGCCAGACTTTGGCCTTCCGGATAAGCCTGAAGAGAAAACAGGACAAGAAGACTACAAAAAATAATGAGCTGATCTGAATTTAAACTAGATTACTTTAAAAATACTAAAAGTTTCCTTAAGTAAAACAAAAAAAAAAAAAATTGGGGGTCAGGGATTTAGCGCAGTGGTGTCACCACCTGCCTCACAAGCACAAGGTTGAGTTTGATACCTGGCACCAAAAAAAAAAAAAAAAATCAATATATTTATTTCAACAAAGGATTTATACACAGTATATAGTTTTACAACAGAACCTAATTTTTTTTGTTTTTTTGTTTTGTTTTTTGGTTGTTTTTTTTTTTTTGGTACCGGGCATTGAACTTGGGTCCTTGCACTTGCAAGGCAGGTCACCGAACCGCTGAGCTAAATCCCTGGCCCCTAATTTTTTTTTTAAAAAAAAAAAGGACAAAAAGAGCTGAACATACTCTTAACAACAGATAGGAAAATAGCCAAAAACTTATCAAAGATGTACAATGAATTAAGACATTAGAGCCAGGGATTTGGCTCAATGGTTCCGCCACCTGACTCGCAAGCACAAGGACCCAAGTTCAATCCCCAGTACCAAAAAAAAAAAAGACTAGGGAAATGCAAAATAAAACCATAATGAGCTACTACTACATACACATTAACATTTTAGTTTACAAAAAGAAACTTTTAGATGAACGTGACCAACAATTTTTCCCTATGAGAAGTAATTAAAATTCAAAAATTCTTATAAAACATTAAAAAAGAGAAATGACCAGGAAATAGTAGAGAGATGTAGAATAGAGATCACTGCAATCCTATTTTATAGGAAGCAGAGATGTCATATGTATTTTCACATGCATATATCTAGAGACTAACAGGAAAAATATAGCATATATCATACACAAGTATGATTCTTAAAAGAAAAATTTTTTTTTTTACTCCTTGATTCCTCTCAGAGAATCTAAAAAGGCTAGGAATAATCCACTTTCAAATACAAAAAATTAAAAAAGACTTTTAAAGGCACATCATTTTACAGACTCTCTTAAAGTCATTTAGTCTTCACTTGGATTAACAACATTTGACTCAGTAATGAACATTTTCAAAGAGTAACACTTCACCGATAAATTATAATTTAACAAATGCAGTATTACTGGATACTTTGTGCCTATCTCTGAAGGAAAGGATGCATGAAAGTCCCCTGCTCCAACCATTCTGACTTTAAGAGGTACCAAGTAATTACAACAGAATTCCCCAGGCTGTTTTTATTACACAAATGTTATCTCAGGAAGATCATCTCTCTAAACAGTGAAAATAGCTTTCAAAGTAATTTAAGACATCATTACCAAAAAAATTCAGTAAAGTGTAAGAAAATTAAGTCATCTGAAACCTCACTGTGTTGATAATAGTTTGAAAATGGTTCTACCCAGTATTTAGGAGACTGAGGCAATAGGATTGCCACAAGTTTGAGGCCAGCCTGAGATATATATAGTGAGTTCAAGGCCAGCCCCTAACTACATGAGACCCTCTTTCAAAAAAAAAAGCCAAGAGGCTGCTGAGGTAGCTCAGGGCTACATTCTTTTCCAACACACGAGACTCTGAATTCAATCCCCAGTATAAAGACAGAGACAGACATACACAAACACACACACACACACACACACACACACACCCCTTTCAGCTACTACAACACCCCACTTACTTTGAATTTTAGATCTATTTGTTTTGGGGAAGGCAACTGTGATATCTTGGATCCTAAAATACATGTGATGATATAGCAATGTATGAAAACATTCTGCTCTATAGGAGCTGTCTTCAAAGCACTTCCTTGCTATACAGAAAATACCAACTATTTTTTTAAAATCTCATAGGCGATGGGGATTTAGTTCAGTGGTTCCACCGCCTGCTTCACGAGCACAAGGACCTGAGTTAGAGTCCCAGTACCAAAAATAAATAAATAAAACCTTATAAAATACAGTGAGATTATTGTTTTTCCTCTTGAAAAATTTCATCTTCCTAACAGGTATCAAGCCATTATAAAAATGAAGCCCTCATTTAATATTAATCAATGTACTATAATGTGCACTTAAGCTGATTAAAATTTGTTATAACCACTAAAATATTTTTCTGTGACCAAAGTTTCCATTTTAAGGGAAAGCAATAAAATATCTTATCTCTTAGATTGTCAACACTAGTAAGTCTGTGAAAGCTACTTCAAAAACAATATCCACTGTTCTTCCTAGAGACAAGACTTCATAAATGAAGTATCTTAATGGCCTTAGAATGTTTAGCAACCTTTCCAAATGAAGATTTTAAGAACTGAAGCTCAAATCCAGCCTGGGCCACTGAGAACCCTGTCTTAAAAAATAAAAAGATTCAGGGGTCAGGGATTTAGCTAAGTGGTTCCACCACCTGCCTCGCAAGTGCAAGGTCCCTAGTTCAATACCCAATACCAAAAAAAAAAAAAAAAAAAA